ATCGCATTCAAACGGAAGAATCGATTTTAAGCCTCTCACTGTAAGAAACATCCCTCTGTGACGCTCCTCCTAGACCAAGGGCCCCGATCATCGACTCGGAACGTGAATTATACATATTCGACGTCGGCGTGCAACAACTATCTTTTCTCGGCCTGTTGAAATATTAACGGAGTCCGGAAATATTTTAGATGTCGATATCGCAAACCTTCGGAGTGCAGATGGAACTAAGGGGCCAGTTCCCTAAGAAAGAACGCGTAAATTATTTCTACCGACTCCCGAAACGAACCAAACCTGCGAATTCTAAATATTAATATCCATCGATCTTCCGCAAAATAGCATCCGTGATGCAACTTTTTTTTATTTTTGCCACCTCATCCTTGAAAGAGGACGACGACTCACGCCGTTCTTCCGAGGAAATAAATTTTTCATCCGTCGACTCCTCGAAATGAACCAAAAGTGCGAATTCTGAATATTCATATGCGCAGACAGCTTGCAAAATACCAGAATAAGATACAACTTTTCCTGTTTCTTTTCCTTTTCCACCTTGTTCTGCCAAAGAAACACGCCGAGTTTCTGAAGCCTATGAAATAAATTTTTAGTTTCCAATCCGCAGAAGCTAAGCAAATGTGCGAATTTGAAATATCAATATCCACCGATCGTCCTCAAAATGCCAGTCATAATTTCTCCCATTTGTCCTCTTCATCCTGTCAAGGAGACGAGACGTGTCATTCTTCTAAACCCGACGAAATAAGTATTTAGTTTGGCAACTCTCAGAAACGAAGCAACTATGCCAATTTTAAATATCAATATCCACCGAGCGTTCGCAGAGTGTCAGACATAATTTCTCCCATTTGTCCACTTCATCCTGCCAAGGATACGAGACGTGTCATTCTTCTGCACCCGACGAAATAAGTATCTAGTTTGACAATTCGTAGAAAGGAAGCAAATGTGCGAATTTTAAATATCAGTATCCACCGATCCTTCACAAGATATCGGCCATAATTTCTGCTATTTGTTCGCTTCATCCTGCCAAGGGGGCGAGTCATGTCATTCTTCTGAACCTGATGAAATAAATATTTAGTTTGACAACTTGCAGGAAGGAAGCAAATGTGTGAATTTTAAATATCAATATCCACCAATTCTTCGCAATATACCGGCCATAATTTCTGCTATTTGTTCACTTCATCCTGCCAAGGGGGCGAGTCATGTCATTCTTCTGAACCTGATGAAATAAATATTTAGTTTGACAATTCACAGAAAGGAAGCAAATGTGCAAATTTTAAATATCAGTATCCATCAATTCTTCGCAAGATATCGACCATAATTTCTCCCATTTGTCCACTTCATCTTGCCAAGGGGATGAGTCATGGCATTCTTTAGAACCCGATGAAATAAATATTTAGTTTGACAACTTGCAGGAAGGAAGCAAATGTGTGAATTTTAAATATCAGTATCCACTGATCGTCCGCAAAATGTCAGCTACAATTTCTCCCATTTATCCACCTCACCCTGCCAAGGAGACATCGCGACACGCCGTTCCCCTGGACCCGACGAAATAAATTTTTCGTCCTCTTCTCCGATGCGCTTCCGGCCGCCTTCAGCCGCGAACGAAATTCGCTCGAGTTGCAAACTTTCAACTGCTCGCGCGCGTGCTGTGTACGCGAATTTGTAGCCAGGAACGTTGAACACGGGACCCGGCTGCATACCTCACGGGATCTTCAGGGCCAATCAAAAAGTTTCACGGATTCATTGAAATTTTCATTAGAAACTTTTGACAAGAAGCACTGTCTATGCAGCGCGGCCCGCGTCCGATGGTAAGAAACGTTTTTCACGTCTCGCATCGTGTTCTCGCGTGTCCAGAAGCGTATTCCCATTCGTCGGGCCGAGTAATTCGTGCGAGGTGGTAAAAGTTGCCGCAACAAATTGATCAATCGAGAAGTTTCTTCCCTCGTTTCGTTCGTTTGCAAGATACTCGCAGCTGTTGGCGAATTTACATATCCGCGCGGCGGAGACGGCAAATTGGCAGCAGCTAGCGGAGGACCGGTTTTAGTTGGCAAGAAAATAACAAGACGAGGAGACGGTAATGAGTGACGGAAGCCAGCGAACGATTCGCGTTGAACGTGTAATTGCTGGTTTAAGATCTTGCGCTGGGATTCTTGTTTGGATAGTTGTAGCGTTCATATTTACGGATACGTATACGTGTTTCGCCGATGACGCGAGTTCTTCTGTGAGAGTACACTCTGCGGCATGGTGCGAAAAAGGGGGTGAGAATAGAAGCCTTCATAGAGTTTTGAAGAGAAGGTATTTATCCCATTGTGACTCAAAGACGACTCAATATTTTTTAACTTTATAATCACCGTGATAATAATATTTTTATTTCGTCCAATTTAGAGGTATATTGTCAAAAGAAATATATTAAGATTATTATAATTATTGAGACAAATTAATAATTTAATTTGCAAGTTAAAAATCGAGTTACTTTTTACACTCTGTGGGGTGCTGAGAAAAAGGGGGTAAGAATGGAAGCCTTCACAGAGGTTCCAAGGAAAGTTATTTAATCTATTGTGACTCAAAGACGACTCAATATTTTTTAACTTTATAATCACCGTGATAATAACATTTACATTTCGTCTGAGTCAGAGGTATCTTGTTAGAAGAAATATATCAAGATTATTATAATTATTGGGAGAAATTAATAATTTAATTTGCAATTTAAAAATGAGTTTTATGCTTGCTTCTTGACGAGAGATTTTTGCTTTTCTTAATGGAGGGAGATTGATAAAAGTAACTTTTACCTCTTTAAAAACGTACATTCGTGCTTCTTAGTAGTCTCCACATAAATTGTTCCGTGTATTAAAGGGGTTGTTTTATCATAAATTACAGTGTTGTTTATATTGTATTATCGTTTGCATAAGAAAGCTTCGGGATAATATAATAGTATATGATATTCCTGATTTTAAATGTACATTAATCTTGCTTAATCCCGTTATGGCAGGTGTTTTAAACAGCAACCAGAACTCCTCGTAAATTTCAAATATTAGTACTAATAAAATTCGTTTATATTTCTGCGCAAAGAATAATTTAAAAAAAAAAATTCGCGTAGCGTACAATTACGCGAGAAAAATATTTCTCGTATTATTCCGTTGCATAATAATTTATGCAAATCGCGAATATTCGAGGAAGCAATACGCGAAACGTACAATAAAAACTACCATACGCGCGAACTATACACGGTTGAAATTATTTCGTCCCTGTAAATAGTGATAAAAATCGTGCTTTATCTCTCTTTTTTTCCATTTTTAGGACATTCAATTTCCGAACGTGGAATTCCGCGTTTAAATTCGAAAAGAGCGATTAAACACTTTCAGTTTAAACAACGTTTCCATTCACTGGCTTTGCCCACTTTGGGCATTCATGGCTGACAGGACACGTTATGTAATAACGCGGATAAGATTTGCAAAGTTTATTTAGAGGAGCACTATTCCTCTTTATCGTGCGCGCGCCTGTAACTGAATTTCGGTCCGCGGACAAATATTGGAAATGATTTTCGAAGTTGAAAGAGTTTTTAATGGCTGCGTTCTTTCATACGAACTGTCATAAACTGCTGACCCGCACTCACCTAAATGACGTTTGATATTCCAGGAAACCTTTCCCGTTTGTTTTTCCCTTATCTCCCGCTTGCGCTTAATAATAAAAAATAAATGTTATCTGCGATCTTTCGAAATACTTTCCGCGAATTTGAATAAAATATTTCGATGAGATTCAAGGAAATTCGATCGCGATATTTTAATAACGGAATTATTTAATTTTTTACCATCGCGGAGTGCAATTTTAGGGATTGTTATTAATGAATTATGAAAAAATTGGAAACTGTCAGGTACGAAATGAATATGGTATGGTTTTGCAGCGATAGAAATACATTTTATCGGAAGCAAACGTTTAATGGCTGGTGGCTATTGGTTAATTTAATGGAGGTCGTGTAGTATGAGAGAAGGTTAAAATTCATTGCAAACTCGCAGAATGATGTGGCAGCGAAATTCTATTAAGAAAGATTGCGCTCTAAAATAGTCCCGTGACATTTAAAAAGTTCCATTCTGACAAGAAAGTCGACAAAGTATTGCGGGAGTGAGCACACGGTGAGAAAGTAGAAGGAATTTTATAATTCCTAACTCATAATTTTTAATTTGTCAAAATTGATCAATGATAATAAAATACCCAACCAATATCGAATAATATAATTTCGCGAAGCCCTTCTCTGTCACCTGCATTTTACTAGATAGAACTGTATAATGACTCCAATATCCGATATTCAACGATAAAAATTTCTTCCCAGCAGAAAATTACATATTTACATTAACACGTTGTTAGTGGTGGATGAAATATCAATAATAACAAGCACAATTCTTTATTTAATTACAAAAAATTATCAAGCACAAGTATTAAGTATAAATCTAATTAATTTCTCGCAATCACATGCTCACACCTAGGGCAGGTGTGAGGTTCATCCGAGTGGTGACTATATAATTGGTGAATATATAATTAAATATAGGCACAAAAATATAAATATAGTCACAATAATTATCTACATAAATTATTCTTATTAATATATATATAGTCACAAATAAATAAATATAGACACAATAATTATTTTATATTCTATTAAATTATTCATTTATTAATAAATCGATGGGAACATAAATATATATTCATATATGTATTCATAAAATCAATAATCTTATATAATAGATAATACACAATTATATATTAATAACTTAATTTATAATATAATAAATTTATTATATATTAATTATTAATAGCAATAATTAATTTTTATTGCAATCATTATTATATATTAATTAATTTAATTAAATATCAAGGTAGTAATTTTCATTTTATTTCGACTAATATCGTGGTGAGCAAACTTTTTTGCATAAATAAGGAGGAAAAATTCTATTGGTTTGCTATAGCCATTGCACTAGGTGATCACGAGTGTAGAATCAATGGACGCTGGCAATAAGGACATAAACAGCCCTCCACTTAACTTGGACATTCGTTCCTGGGCACATGAACTTAAAGAGTCCCATACAAGTTTTCAAACCACCCCTGGAAAGTGGTTAAACGGTTAAAGGTTCCAAAAACCGCGAATTTTAAATGACCATTGGTCAACTTTTTCTAAATGGCCATTACCACACACGTTACTCGCGAAAAATTAATTTAACGATTCTTTATGTCCATCCATTCTTTTATTCGCGATATTCTATTTTAAAATTGCGAAAAATCCGCAAAAATTATGCGAGATGAACGGCAATTGTACGTTCGTATTTTGTCAAAATCTCAGCCACAAAAAGTCGACGTGCCTAACCACCGGGACCCCACCGATGGTGCCCTGTTTCTTGTTACGCGATATCGCGACGAACCAGTCGTCGCGTGGTAAATTCGAATTCCTTGGATTCGCGTTTTTCCCATGGAAACGCGGAGAAAGTTCGCGGGGTGAATCAGTTTCTTCCCGATGCAGCAGTTTTATCGAGCGCACCTTTATTTCGCGGCTGCTCGCCGGTGATATATGTTCGATTGCATAACTGTCGTTCCAGCTGCGTTTCAGATACCACCGCAGCCTCCCTCTAATTTTTCATTGTAATGCGATTTACGGAACTCCCCGACGGGCTATGTTCGAACGTTCCCGCGATTAGGTCGAAATTTTTCACGCAAACTCGAATTTAATTTGTTACACGGGTAGTCGCACGTAGAAATGCTACGTAATTGAGATCGCTGCCACGACCACCGCCATTTTGGTTCTTCTTGCGCGTCTTCTTCTCGTTGCCTCGATACTTTCATTATGGCTTTCGGGGTTTCGTGGTTCATGACTTTTCTCCTTTCTGGGAAATTGTTTTTTGGCAAATTGCGAGATAATTTTTGTGTGTTTTTTTTTTCTTTCGTTTCAATTATTTTATGTTATTTTATACTGGGTCAGCTACTCGAGTTCGTTATTTTTGTGGTATTTTTATTTTTACCATTTACATGGCAAAATTTTATTTTCGCGTTTTATCAATTATTTAAAGTGAAGTTTGTTAGTATTGTAATATTGTGTACAGGTAGCCCACCTACAACACGGCATCTTATAACACGATTCATTAATTTCGGGAACCCTCATACAACACGGCATCCTGTAACACGGTTTCGCTCTAACACGATAAGAAAATTGCAAAAACCTTTATACAACACTGCACTTCTACAGCCGTGGCGAGGCTTGCATCCTTATTTTCTAAATCGTCAGAAAATAAAATTGGTGGCATAATAGAACTTGCTAAATCAATCGGAGACGAAGGTTTTGTGGATGTGGCTGTTGAGGATGTTCAAGATTTATTAGTGGAAGAAAAAGTTGACGAAGCGGATTTGATGGAAATGACATCCGAAGCTGTAAATCAAATCGATTCTGAGAACACTAGCACTGATGAAAATTGTGCAGTTAATAATTTAACATTAAAAAATTACAGGAAGGCCAAAGCTTAGCTGAAAATCTCGAGTCATTTTTCTTGAATGCAGACCCTTCCGCTGAAAGAAACCGAAAATTCAAAAGGGAGCTGCAAAACTGTCTAGCTCCATACCGAGAAATTTACAATTACCTGGTAAGAACCAGCAAGCAAAGTAAAATTACAGAATTTTTTAAGAGGGAAGAAGATGCAAGAACTTTAAATGAAGAAAAAAGTTCTGAAAGTGAAGGCGATATCATTCCACCGAAAAAACATTCTTGGTTGATTATACTGAGCAGTGACGACGAAGAAATTTATTAAATTCAAGTTGCGTTGAACTGAAATATTATTTTTTGTTTCTTTTTGTTTTGTGTTGTACATTCATTTATATTTTTAATAAAAATTAAGTTGTTTATGTAGAATTAAAAAAAAATTTGTTTTTAATAAGTTTCCGGAACGTTACCCCCTTTTTGTACTGGCTCTGAGTCTCATACAACACGGTTTCACACAACACGGTATTTTCTAGGAACCTATCTACCGTGGTATAGGAGGGTTACCTGTATTTGAAAGCTTACTATACTAAACTTTTCTACGGATCGTGAATAAAATTTTCTAAAGTATTATTCGTCCTTTAAGTGGATAACTAAAAAAAATTAAATACATAAATGAACCTAACATTGTATAATTTATAAAAATTATACAATAATTACAGCCAAAAAACGCGAGAACCGATCGAGATTTAGAAAAAATAAGCGATAAAAGTCAAACGACGCAATAACATTTCGCGGCCTGTCACATTCGCCACTATCTTTCATAAACGATCGGTTAAAATCGGGAAAAAACCGGCAAACTAATTAAAACACAGATCACTCCACGTAACTAGGTAGGAAAATCGTGAAAATCTGAAGAAATTCGGAAGATATAAGCAACGAAAGTCAAACGACGCAAAAACTTTTCGCGGCCTGTCACATTCGCCACTCTCTTTCATAAACGATAGGTTAAAATCGGGAAAAAACGAGCAAACTAATTAAAACACAGATCACTCCACGTAATAAGACTGGAAAATCGTGAAAATCTGAAGAAATTCGGAGGATATAAGCGATTAAAGTCAAACGACGCAATAACTTTTCGCGGCCTGTCACATTCGCCACTCTCTTTCATAAACGATCGGGTAAAATCGGGAAAAAACGAGCAAACTAATTAAAACACAGAGCACTTCACGTAATTAGGTTGTTAAATCGTGAAAATCTGAAGAAATTCGGAGGATATAAGCGATTAAAGTCAAACGACGCAATAACTTTTCGCGGCCTGTCACATTCGCCACTCTCTTTCATAAACGATCGGGTAAAATCGGGAAAAAACGAGCAAACTAATTAAAACACAGAGCACTTCACGTAATTAGGTTGTTAAATCGTGAAAATCTGAAGAAATTCGGAGGATATAAGCGATTAAAGTCAAACGACGCAATAACTTTTCGCGGCCTGTCACATTCGCCACTCTCTTTCATAAACGATCGGGTAAAATCGGGAAAAAACGAGCAAACTAATTAAAACACAGAGCACTTCACGTAATTAGGTTGTTAAATCGTGAAAATCTGAAGAAATTCGGAGGATATAAGCGATTAAAGTCAAACGACGCAATAACTTTTCGCGGCCTGTCACATTCGCCACTCTCTTTCATAAACGATCGGGTAAAATCGGGAAAAAACGAGCAAACTAATTAAAACACAGAGCACTTCACGTAATTAGGTTGTTAAATCGTGAAAATCTGAAGAAATTCGGAGGATATAAGCGATTAAAGTCAAACGACGCAATAACTTTTCGCGGCCTGTCACATTCGCCACTCTCTTTCATAAACGATCGGGTAAAATCGGGAAAAAACGAGCAAACTAATTAAAACACAGAGCACTTCACGTAATTAGGTTGTTAAATCGTGAAAATCTGAAGAAATTCGGAGGATATAAGCGATTAAAGTCAAACGACGCAATAACTTTTCGCGGCCTGTCACATTCGCCACTCTCTTTCATAAACGATCGGGTAAAATCGGGAAAAAACGAGCAAACTAATTAAAACACAGAGCACTTCACGTAATTAGGTTGTTAAATCGTGAAAATCTGAAGAAATTCGGAGGATATAAGCGATTAAAGTCAAACGACGCAATAACTTTTCGCGGCCTGTCACATTCGCCACTCTCTTTCATAAACGATCGGGTAAAATCGGGAAAAAACGAGCAAACTAATTAAAACACAGAGCACTTCACGTAATTAGGTTGTTAAATCGTGAAAATCTGAAGAAATTCGGAGGATATAAGCGATTAAAGTCAAACGACGCAATAACTTTTCGCGGCCTGTCACATTCGCCACTCTCTTTCATAAACGATCGGGTAAAATCGGGAAAAAACGAGCAAACTAATTAAAACACAGAGCACTTCACGTAATTAGGTTGTTAAATCGTGAAAATCTGAAGAAATTCGGAGGATATAAGCGATTAAAGTCAAACGACGCAATAACTTTTCGCGGCCTGTCACATTCGCCACTCTCTTTCATAAACGATCGGGTAAAATCGGGAAAAAACGAGCAAACTAATTAAAACACAGAGCACTTCACGTAATTAGGTTGTTAAATCGTGAAAATCTGAAGAAATTCGGAGGATATAAGCGATTAAAGTCAAACGACGCAATAACTTTTCGCGGCCTGTCACATTCGCCACTCTCTTTCATAAACGATCGGGTAAAATCGGGAAAAAACGAGCAAACTAATTAAAACACAGAGCACTTCACGTAATTAGGTTGTTAAATCGTGAAAATCTGAAGAAATTCGGAGGATATAAGCGATTAAAGTCAAACGACGCAATAACTTTTCGCGGCCTGTCACATTCGCCACTCTCTTTCATAAACGATCGGGTAAAATCGGGAAAAAACGAGCAAACTAATTAAAACACAGAGCACTTCACGTAATTAGGTTGTTAAATCGTGAAAATCTGAAGAAATTCGGAGGATATAAGCGATTAAAGTCAAACGACGCAATAACTTTTCGCGGCCTGTCACATTCGCCACTCTCTTTCATAAACGATCGGGTAAAATCGGGAAAAAACGAGCAAACTAATTAAAACACAGAGCACTTCACGTAATTAGGTTGTTAAATCGTGAAAATCTGAAGAAATTCGGAAGATATAAGCGATGAAAGTCAAACGACGTAATAGATTTCCGCGGCCTGTCACATTCGCCACTATCTTTCATAAACGACCGGTTAAAATCGGTAAAAAACCGGTAAACTAATTACAACACAGGCCACTGCACGCAATTAGGTTGGAAAATCGTGAAAATCTGAAGAAATTCGGAAGATATAAGCGATGAAAGTCAAACGACGCAAAAGCTTTTCGCGGCCTGTCACATTCGGCACTATCTTGCATAAACGATCGGTTAAAATCGGGAAAAAACCGGCAAACTAATTAAAACACAGATCACTTCACGTAATTAGGTTGGAAAATAGTGAAAATCTGAAGAAATTCGGAAGATATAAGCGATGAAAGTCAAACGACGCAAAAACTTTTCGCGGCCTGTCACATTCGGCACTATCTTTCATAAACGATCGGTTAAAATCGGGAAAAAACCGGCAAACTAATTAAAACACAGATCACTTCACGTAATTAGGTTGGAAAATCGTGAAAATCTGAAGAAATTCGGAAGATATAAGCGATGAAACTCAAACGACGAAAACGATTTCCGCAACCTGTCACATTCGGTACTATTTTTCATAATCGATATATTAAAATCTGGAAAAAACCGGCAAACTAATTAAAACACAGGCCACTGTACTTAATTATGTTCAAGAATCGTGAAAATCTGTAGAGATTCGAAAAATGTAAGCGATGAAAGTCAAACAACGAAACCGATTTCCGCGGCCTGTTCTATTCGGTACTATATTTCAAACACAATAGGTCGAAATGCAGAAAGAACGGGCAAACTAATTAAAACAGTCTATCCCAGGCAAGTAGGGCCGAAAATCAGCAGAGGCAGTCGAGATTTAGAAACTATAAACGAGGAAATTGAAAACTATGCAATAACTTTTCGTGATTTCACCCTATCAAAATTGAAGCAGAATTGACAAAACTATTAAAGGCAAGTACGTGAATGTCTAAGAAAAGTCGGTAATGTGTTAAAAGTATTGTGACGTCTAAGTACTGTATTGGAATATATGCCGAAGGTATAGAAATAGATAGACACCGGTTCTGAGATGTTGCTTTATAGACGGACGAGGCTCGACTGACGCGGTTTATGTAACGGTTTTAGATGACGGTTATAACGGTTTCTTTTTTTGTCGCTACCACGTGACCGAACTCTCTAGAAAAATCCTTGGACTTTGCACTTCTCTTCGCTCGGCAACCACTCACACGCGCCTATGCATTTGTGTGTATATATATGTAGCAAGCAAACTATTAACTCCTTACCTAACGGTTTAAGGTTCGATGGCACGTAGCACACTCAATAGCGAAGTTACACAGTCGCACGTCGAGCGATATCGGCCGAATGCGAGGAAGAATACATGCAACTGACGAGTCTCACTTGGCTGGGTAGAAAAACATCGACGCGTATTTATGGTAACGGATCAAATTTCATGCGAACGCGGCGAGGAATAACGTTCGACTGAGACGAGGAAACGTCGTCGGAGATTAGCCTTGAGCCTGACCAGTGATGTTTACGTTCGGCCCTATGGCTAGGCTATTGGCTTTCTCTCTCTCTCTTTCTCTCTCCTCGCAATAGTCGTGTTTCGCCCGATTTCCTTACCACATCTTTCTCGTTGGTGATACTCGTGTATAGGTCGATTTCTTTATCACAGCTCTGTCTTTTATTTTTATTATTTTTAGGAATTTTGTTTTCTTTCTGATACTATTTGAGAATTATTTGGTATGCATTAATATATAATATATAATATATAATAATTAATATA